CCCCCCCATATGATGCATGGTTTCGAGTGTATTATCAAGTATATACTCAGGTAACAGTGTTAGAAGTGTTACACTATCTTTATTTAAGGGTGGGGTTAGGGGTTTAGCGTTAGGGGGTTAGGGGTTTAGGGTTAGGGGTTTAGGGTTAGGGGTTTAGGGTTAGGGGTTTAGGGTTAGGGGTTTAGGGTTAGGGGTTTAGGGTTAGTGTGTATAACACTATGGAACACTATCAACACTCTGTAGCACTATGTAGCACTGTGGAACACTATGTAACACTGTGTAACACTATGTAGCACTGGAACACTGAATGTAAGAATATACAGTATAACATTGTTTAACACCGTGTAACACTTGTAACCGTGTTATAACTGTTATAAATCGTGCATGGTATACCCCCTATCCCCATCAAGGACCTTGGAATTCCTCAGGGGTAAGGAAATTTTGATATGGAAATCTTCAAATTGTATTTTATTGCAACTTATTTAGGGGTCAATATCTCTGTCCACTGGAATTCTTCAGGGGGTTTGATAAAAGAAAGGAATTGTTCAATTGTTTTGTAAAACCCTGGTCTTCAATAGAGGGGTACAGTTTTTTAATGCAAATATAGCCGGCTGCTGAGCGAAGTGAACTTCGATAACATAATTTAAATAATTCAATATACACAACAATAAAATAAAATATTGTTCAATATAAGTGACTTGTTTTGTTTACTTATTGCTGTAGTACTGGCTGGCAGAAATGAATAAACGATTGAACCACTTTAGACAACACCAATTAAACAACAATTTGCTGCCATCACGCCATGTGCCAGCAAAACCGCCAATTGGCGCCAAACAATATAAAAGCACAATTATAAATTATTAATCCTCGTATTTATAATCAAACCATATTCATCTAAAAAACATTAATGTTTATACCATTCAAAGAAGTTTGACATACCTGGGCTAGATCGAGAACTTTCTATTCGTTCAAGTGTGTCAGCCACACGAGTAAGAGAATTTTTAACGGCCTTCAATTCCTCCTCCATGATGAATTTAACATGATTATAAAAGAATCAAAGATTCCAAGAATTTATATATGACGTAATTATGACAAGTTTGTATTACGTAATTTTGGCGGCTTTTGTACAAGCGGCGGCAAATGGCAATTTTCAACTTGACAAATGGCAATTTTCAACTTGACAAATGGCAATTTTCAACTTGACAAATTACAACTTCGAACTTGACAGATCGCAACTTTCAACTGTGCAAATCGCAACTTTCAGTTTGGCAAATCGCAACTTTTGATATTAGATTTTTTTCACCAAGTTCATTGTTGCATGCAGGAAATTCGTTAAATGTTTGTGTGGTAAACAATTGTCAAAAGCCGTATGAAAAATTATGGGCAAAATTAAATGTTGATTCCCCATGTTAAAAGTCGAATTGCAATATTGATTTTTGGCGGTGATGGAACGCCATAGTTGCACAGCTGAGCAAGATTCATTTGGCTACTATTATTGTAGAGCAAGATGCAGATTGGTATATAGCACTAGAACAACACGAAATAGGTAGTTACATATTTTATTAACCAACTTTTAAATACAAAATTTTGAACACTACATATGTGCATGTATGTACTACTGTATTTTTGATATTGGTTTTATCAGGCATGAAATATCAAAGCACCCAACATTCGTGGCACATGATCAAGGCCAAGTACCTGTGCAAAACATGAAGGAGGACACAGAGGATTACATCTTCAACTATCACAGGAGCAAATTAACATTTGGTTTGCTGTTATTTGAATTTGAAGATGCTGTCAAGGAAGGAGATGGTGATAGACTATTAAATGTTTATAAATTTGCCTTACTATTTTACAAATGTTACGGTCATCATAAATATGCGTATGTAATATTTTTGTATCTGGTAAAGGTCAAGGCAGCCATATCAGAGATGCAGGCTGCATCACTGAAATATAATAGATTTTATAGCAGATCAGGTGGAAAAGGATGTAACATTTCATTAGATCTGAAGATGGAACAGTTGAATAAGTTATTAAAAACATTGTGGAGAGGCTTAGGTGCCAACCTAAATGAAGACAGTGCTGCCAGGGTGGCAAATGCCATTGAAAGTCTAGAATGCATTATAGAATCAATAGACAAAGACTGTGTTCTTGATGGCCGAATAGGGTACTGTTCAAAAGGCAAAACGGAAGACACCGTAAAGAAAATTGTGAACGATCTCATAGAGAAACGAACATTCAATTACACTCCAAGAAGGAATGGATATCCATCATTTCCTCAATTTCCATCACCTCTCCTACAGTCATTAGATTTCAGAGATTTGCATTCATGGATGAAAGGTCATCTAGAGCAATGGGAGGCAATTTATGAAAAATAAGGGACTGGTCATAAAGTAACTGCTAGGGTGGGCTGGAGGTAAATCACAAATTGTGCGAATAAGTTTGGTGACCCATCTTAGGATGTAGATAAAAATTTCAAAGCCCATCTAATCTTACAAAAAAAATTTCATGACCCACCCAATCTAAATTGGGAAAATACATTTTTATAATAAAAAAAACTTGCAAGTATGAACATTGTAAATATACACTGGCACTGTATTGACATACATAATTCCACCAAGCTAGACCAACACATTCATCACCAATTACGATACTGAGCCACTCTCCAGTTGGTTATATTTGCTGTGATTCGACCACTTCTTGTTGTATAAACAAAGTACTGGCTTCAATAGCATCACTTGCATTTGATAATTTGGATAGTTTTGTTTACTTTTATTATCAATATCTTTATTTTTTTCAAGTAGACATGAATGGGTTTTTGTTTGATGGCCCAACCGTGGACATACAAAAAAATTGGCGGCCCATCAAAACTGCCCAAAGATTTTCCATGGCCCATCCCAAATCACTCCAGCCCACCCTAGCAGTTACTTTATGACCGGTCCCTTAAATCTGTAAATAATCTATTTTATATAATCTATATTATATTACAAACAGTAATCTGAAGCAGGCATTTAACATTCATCAGTATCTAAACTATTACTTGAGTCTGATTCATCAAAATCATAGTTGTACTGTTCAGACATATCAAGGATTGACTCCTCAGCCTGAAAAAATGGGTCAACATCTTGCATCATTTCTAAAATAGTATCTATTGCTGAAATGTCATCAAAAATTTCATGCAAAACTTCTAAAATTTTTAAAGTGTGACTGAGAGAAAAAACTGGCAAATAAGTGTTAATGTTATCAATGGTGAACAGCTTATGACAATTTTCAACTATGCTATTTACCAGCTCACCAGAAAAACCATGACATAAACCAAAGCTGTTTGACCCTGATGATAGCTCTTTGAATACCTCAAGAAATGCATTTTCAACATCTTTTCGGTCTTCTTCTGTAACTACCCTGGTCATGGACACCTGATCTTTTGATCCAATCACTTCATCTTCAAAAGGAAGTTTGATGTTGCACCCATTATGTTGACAGGAACAGTTTCTTGCACAATTTGAACAACAATTGTGATGAACAGTTAAGGGTGCAATAGTTTTATCAAATGGCTTGTATGCTGCAACTCGAAAACAGCCTTCTGTTTTGACAAAGTTTTTGACATCTTCATCACATTTGCTTAACTGATTTCCATGGTAGCATATTACTATGTGGGATTGTGCACCATCTCTACCAGCTCGTCCAGCTTCCTGATGCTGCTCAATTAAAGAACGAGCAGGACCCCAATTTATCACATATCTAATGTTGGGGAAATCAACACCCATACTCAAAGCTGAGCTTGCAACAATGATCCTCTGAATTCCATCTTGTTTCAGTGATTGTTGAATTTGTTCCTTACAATGCGGCCATGACAATGAATGAAAAATGCCAATTACCAAGTTCTCAGGAGTATTTTTCTTAGACCTCCCATAAGCATATAAACCAAGTTTAAGCAGAAGATAATTTAAAACCACTGCAATATCTTTAAGTGAATTGCAAAATATTATGGTTTTTGGTATCTTTTCTGTTGATTTATCGATGACATTTTTAACCAATTCAACAAGCCAATCCAGCTGTTTGTGCATATCACTTTTTGAGCATTTTTGCACTGAGAATCTTAGGTTTTTCCTGTTGGGGCTAATGTTGATAATATGTGGGGTTTTCATTATTAACTGTTCACATATTGTTTTCTGTGTCATACCATCAGCAGTCCCAGTTAGTGCAAGTACAGGAGTACCTATTGAAGCAAAATTTGAGAAATAAGAGTAAATCGAAATTAATTTTTTTTCTGTATCTGTTTGTAACTAATTATACAGCTTGTACAAAAGATAATAGAACAGCTTGTACAAAACAGTTTGTACAAAAGATAATAACATCAGTAATACAGAATTAGCCATTACAGAGCTAACACAATTCTATTTCTTACAACCATGGTTGCAACTGAGAAATTAGATAAGTGTTGTTTAGTGAAACACTCTGCAATTTGCCAATGTACTAGTAGTATTAACTTACTCCCTCGGAAAATCTTTACGAAAAGTTAACTACATTATCATACAAATTTTGTGGATACTACATTGTCATTGATATGTAAGTTTTTAATTATAACACAGCAGAAAGCGATGCATGGCAAATCATCTGTTGTCACAGGTGTACAAGACAGCCCCCCCCCCCCCAATTTTAGAAAACCGTGGAAATTCTGGCAATTGCTAGGTAAAATGAAGACAATTCGGGCAGATTTATCAGAAAATAGTTTAAAGTCTGGTATAAATTTCATTACAATCCACCATACAAATTTGGAGAAACTTTCAACTGCCCCCACATCAGTCCCGTACGCAGATGTCTTGTCCTGTAAAACACGATTCTATGTGATAATTAATTAATTTAATTGAACGGTGTTTACCTTCTCTGCAGAAAGAACAAAGGGTAGCCAACTTTCCAAACGCACATCTAAATATATCGTCTGGTTTTCTTCTTGAATTCATACGTTTTTTCCTTAAAAATTAAGTATGAGAATGCATGAGTACAAATTCTTAGATTAAATATTAAATCGCTTCATTCACTGATTCACTCAAATATACGACGTTGTGACACAGTGTTGCCGTTGGAATTATATTTATGCTCACCTTTTTCCAGTCCAAGTTTCTACTGTGTGTGCTTCATCCACCACAATGCAACAGACTCGCTTATGAAGCTCTGATTGACGATCGAGAAGGTGGTCTTGAAATTTCGTTGTTAACACGTTTTCTGCTGAACTAAACAGTATTTTAAAATCGATCGCATCTTTCCAGATCTTCATGTTGTAAAAATTTCACGTCGGCTGCAGGGTAACCAGAAGACTTTAAAGCAGTTATCTGGTCATCAATAATGCTTGATAGAGGGGCAATGACGAGAACAACCCAACAACCATTCATTTCGTTATCTTTCACACGCGAATATGCTTGGAAAATTCTACTTTTGCCAAAACCTGTGGGTAAAATAGCGAGGACATCTTCACCAAGTAAGAGTTTTTCTACAGCTTGTTCTTGCTCTTTCTTAAGATAAGGATCGATTGCCCTTATTTTGGATACTAAACTGTTGTTATTTCCCTGTACAAGAGACGCCATTTCTAAAATTATTTTTCAACTACTCAAAATACTTCCGGTGAAATAAATTTGCATATATTACACCAAAACATGAAAAATACCGCGGCATTACGGCAGGCTCTCCCTCTCGCCCCCCCCCCAATTTTCTTTTCTTCCCATTTTCATCACCTCCCCCAAACCCAGAGAGCCTGCCACGCAGGCTAATATGATGCTTGTGATGTTACTCTGAGTGCTTATCCACACCGGGCAAGCTTGAAAAATATGCCTGGTCAGGACCAAAGGTCGTACGTTCGATTCCCACCATGGCCAGGCATATTTTTCAAGCTTGCCCGGTGTTGATATACACTCAATGTAACATCACAAGCATCAACTCTTGGAGATACTAAACAAATTTATATCTTCCACAGATAGAGTATTTTCCTTTCGTTTATGAATCCTTTATAAACACATCTTGTATATATGGAACATTTATTATATGAAATTCATTACTTATTGAAAACTAATTTTGCCTTGTTTTGAATATCACTATCCAAGTGGGGCAAACTAGATTTTTTGGATGGATATCAGACTCTACGACTATACGTTTCTAGTATCCCACTGCATAGTTAGTGCAGAAAATTTAGAATTCCAAGCCATGCACTCTGGACTAGAGGTATATCTCAAAGACTCAAAGTGAAAAAAAAATTGATATTGAAATCTTGAAATTTTTCGCTTCGGAATAAATGAGGCTGCTTGTAGTTTACCATTGTGTGAGCTCAATTAAGTTAGTAGCTTCTTATAGCAAGATTTTGCTTCTTCTTTCGCTTCTTATAGCAAGATTTTGATTTGAATTTTCTTCTTGACCATATCCTTCACTTGCGATCGTTCTGCATGTCATGTAACTGATGTATAGGCTTATTTTTTAATAAGGAGATAGAGCTAAATTTGCAAGGCCAAAGTAACACTAAATACATACCAAATACTTAATTATATGCTTGGTGATTTAAATATTTAGGGCATATATAGTTGGCATGCATACTGTACATACAATAGATTCTGGCCCACATACACTAACACATGCACAAGTACGACAACATTGGTTAGCAGGGCTCAATTAATATTATTTATAGAGACGCCGAGGACAATTAATAACTTTTGACTGCTGCATGTGTTTCATAAAATTAGTCGTATTTTAGCTTTTGAGAGCCAAATGTTTTTTGCAGGGCTTTAACGAGATTTTAGTCAAATGTACTGCATGCCCTGATTAGGTTGCATTGTGCCATAATTACATAATGCGCTCTACTTTTCTATTTTATCACATGACATTGTCTACTTTCTGTACGCTTTGTAGACTTTACACTTCGGATGGATAGGGTCTAGATACAAAAATACAAGCGAAACTTCAACATTTTCCTTATCGATTTGCTGTTATCGCAAGCGACACTGGTACAGACCGTTCGAGATTATATTTGTAAACCTTTTGTACTCTACACCTATATATACATTGTGTCTGCTTTTTGTTTAATGTGCATGTCTACCTTTTGTACACGATATGTACAGAGTGTCCCAAAAAACGAAAACTATTGAAATAACGCGCATTGTTAGAATTTGAATGCCTCGACACTCTGCAGAACCCACACGTACCTAAAGCCCGCCGCACACGAGAGCAACTTGCTGAGCTAACCGCCTCGCGAGGCAGCTAGCTCACTGCTATGTATTTTCACCGCACACGTTGGAAAAACTACTCAGCAACAACATAATTGACATTCAAAATCATTTGCATTTTCTTCGATTTTGTTCCAAGTCACATGAAGAAACCATGGTTTGTCACTGGCTAATTGATTCAAACAGCTCAGCACTTGTTCACAACATCCGCAGACGCTGAAATTTTTTCCTCGCGAAAAATATTAAACACGATAGATATTTTCCTCAAGGCCTTGAGAGGTCAAATCCTCACGAAAACTATCCGCACACGAGATAGTTGCTCTCGTGTGCGGCGGGCTTCAAAGCTTGACGTAAGTAAATTTTATGCATAAAGGCCACATAAAAAAATACTTGGTTAGCGTCCTCGCCCGCCCACAAAAAAGGCCCCGCTCAGGATTTTTGTTTATTTTTTATTTTAAAAAACCCCAACTTTAATTGATCAACGGGCGCTAATATACGTAGTATTTCTATTGACTGTAGTCAATTGTGTTAATAAGTTGCGAAATTGCGTGCGAAAATGACGGTATGAATCATATTTTGAAATATATAAAAAAAATATCTGTACTGCGCAAGAAAATCCAGTTTCGGACCTAAAACCGAGGCGCTAAAAATTAGTAAAAATTTAAAAAAAAGCGCCCGCCCGCCCACTTTTTGGCAAAAGCTAAAGACGCTAACCAATTTATGGAAATTTATGTGGCCTAAAGAAACAGTTTAAGAAGCTGTTTTTTAATTCCCAAGACTGAGAATTTAGTGCGCTTTACAAAGATATTTTAATTTCTTAATAAGTCAATATTTAATATAATATGAACCCTTCTCAATATTTTACGCATCTTACGTTCAGCTTAGTGCTAGGGCATTCAAATTTTCACAATACGTTATTTTAATGGTTTTGCGCTTTTGGGGGGGATACCCTGTATACGGGTGTGCCGGTGTATGTGTCTATACTTAACAAGACGCCTGCTCAGGCGTTCACACTGGCCTGAAAATGGCAACTTTCAAGGTACTGGGTGTAATGTATAGTAGAGAAGTAGATAGGGATACAGGATCATAGGGATACTGGATCATATATATAAATACAACCAATAAATACAATCATGATCAGCAACTATCAACCATAATATACCAAGACGAGCCAGGCCCACTGTAACTATGATAATCAACTATCAACCGTATAATGACGGGCCAATAATAGCGAAGAAATCATATAGTCCTTGATTTTTAATGCCGTTATATGGCTAGTTTCAGGTGCTAAAAAGCCGGTTCATAGACATAGACGATTCTTCTAAAAAATACGCCAATTTGCTTCCATTTATAAGATAAACTGATCCCAACCCAAAGCCCTTCTCTAACCCCAACCAGTAAACATCTAATAAACAATTTGAGAATTAAAAAAGTGGGGGGAAAGTTGGATTAAAAGGTCAAACTGTCAAACCTTTAACTTGTCCTTGTTTATATTCCACTATATTGTATAAATTCGCTGGTCCAAATTTTGGGGTTTTCGAGTCGTTACACAAAGAAAAACACACTAATTCAACTTTACGCAAGAAAGGCCAGAGTGCGACACAACATAAAATCCATAGGAAATCGGCGCAATTCTTCGAAAATTCAACGAAACTGTGTGAAATATATATTAGATCGCTCAGTGAAAAGCCGCCATTTTGAAACTGAACTGAATATGTCACTGGAACACGTTGCACCCTGAGCCTGCGATGAGCTAACGCAAACTCCATTTCTCGACGAAAAAAAAACAGAAAAAGGGGGATTTAAGACACTTGGCCTACAGGCCAGGGTAATTATGCAAAGTGTGCACACTTCGAGATAATTCCTCTCGTTTTGGTCCGTTTTGTGTGGCTATACCTTGGACACATACACCGTATACAAACTAGATAAAAAGGAACACATCGTACACTGGCCCAAAGTTAGGACATGCATGATAGGACACAAAATATCTACAGTTTCATACTACATCGCAGACATGCACACAAACATACAAAAAGAAGACACAATATGTCACTAACATTAGGGATACAAAATGGGATATTTATTATGAGCGGATGCATGAGTTCTAGTTATTCCCGAGTTAGAGTTCGTCTTGACTGAAGTGATGTCGATTTCGAGTTTGACTTTGAGTTTAGAAACTATACCAGGCGTAATAAAATAGATATTTCGAACGGCACAAATTGTACGTAAACCTTTTAAATCTCATCCAACAACATCATTCCTTTAATACTCTAACGCTACCAAACTCTAGCACTAACCCCCAACATTTAGACGCTTACCGTAAAGCCCGGGTCAAATGAGAATGAGAGTTGACAATTAGATTAACAAAACAAAGGTTTACATGAGTATTGTAAGTACATGATACGTTGGAAAAGCATTAAGAACAGCTAACCCAGGTCACGTCACTTTCAAGTCTATATAGCTATGGCGATGAAAGTGCCAACCACTTCAACCGCTACTTCAACTCTGTATTTTTAAAAACTCTGGAGATAGTTGTTGCACTGTTTCACCATCATGCAGCGAAACTATTTCAGACATCATTCTAGTACGTAACGCACTCAACAATCTCAATCCAAATAAAGCTTCTGGTCCTGACAAAATAACCACCCGCCTGCTAAAGAAATGCGCGTCTAGCATCACTCCACCACTTACTCATCTGTTAGCCCAGTATTATCTGGCACATTTTATAGGTTCTATATTAGCAAAATAAATGTTGCACAAGTGTTCCATGTGGAATACATGATAGTGTCGGGAAAGCATTGTGAATAGCTAACCTTACCAAGATCGTGTTTCTTGCGCTCTCACCCATAACTTTAACTCCTATCTTTTAGCCAGACCCTAACCGCTAAACCCAAACCTCGACTTAAAGTCGGTTATGACTTATAATTTGATGTGAACGCGAACTCTCTACTCCCCAAGGTAGACAAATCGTACACAGACAAATTAGACACATATATGGTAGGCCAACTATAGATATATCTCACCTTAATAAGTACGTACCATACATATGTACTGTGCGCTGTGTGTAAATAGTATGCATGAAGTTATAGCTCCTATATACTTCAGTAAAACTCTGTACGTGCGCTGAATAGATGTGTAGTCTTTCTATTTTAGCAGTTAATCCGTAGAGTTGTGACGGTGCGATTTGCCTAATTATATCTAACACATCTAATGTCGTACTTAAAGACAGGTTACAGCCCGTTCTGCGCATGTGCGATTCTTTTTGTTTTGGTAGGCTACTCATCTCTCGTTTCCATGGTTTCTAATCCGATTGCATAATATACGCGCGAAAATCTTTTCGAAACTGTGTATTCCCACCTGTTGTATCAACAATATGGAATTGAGCGTATATTACGCAATCGGGCTAGAAACCATGGAAACAAGAAATGAGTAGTCTACGTCAACAAAAATTCGCACATGCGCAGAACGGACTGTAACCCTTCTTTAAGAGATGTACAGCAAAAATATTGAATATTGCATAATTAGCTATTTGCCTGTTCCGTTGTTCATAGTGGAAAAATGTATATCTTTATTGACCGTTTCCCTTTTAATCGTTTAATGTTATGAGAGAATATAACTGAAATTATAGCTACAGTATCTGACTAATGCAATTTTTTTACAGCATTTCCGTTGTCCAATCGTGGTAGTAAAGGAATCTAGTAAACACTTGGATTACAGTTACTAGTACAGAAGGTGTCATTGATATTGGCGGTACGTTTTCATACTTTATATATTTATAACCTAACAAAACTGAACATACCAAGATACGTAGCGAAATTCCTCAAATAAATTCTACATAATACCTAGCCTCTTCCGCAGGCATCTCGTGGTACTTACTTAGAACAGTGAACTATATACAGTTCTGTTATATAGTTAGTGATTTCGAATCGGTGAATCTTAGAATCTCACCCCAATTTTCTCCCTGCACAGTAACCCAATCAGAAAACATCAGTTATTTGAATAACTAAATTATATAAGTTCTCAACGATTAAAGGCCACACAGACCGGACGCGATTCGGCAACGCAACGCGAATTTTCAGTTTTCAAAAACAAATAAAACCGTCAACGGATAAACATTTTACAAGATATGCCGACCAAATAGCCAAAATTGCTTAAGTGATTCCGAATATTTGAAAAACATTGAAAAATATTAAAGTTAAATGTCATGGAAAACTGAAAATTCGCGTCGCGTTGCCGAATCGCGTCCGGTCTGTGCACGGTTAATAGAACTAGATGGTTAGGCTAGCTGGCAAACTTCAAAGGGAGCGGCAAATTATGTTGAGAACCACTTTTATTTGTGTCATGTGACGAGGAAAGGGACATAATATGCCAACAAAAGATCATATTTCAAAACGCTATAGGGCTTCTGAGATCAAGGTGGAAATTGCAACCGAAAGCGAACAAACATACGAACCTATTTTGAACGTTGGAGATGAAAATATCGAAGAAAGCGAGCGTCGTGAACAGTTTATGATCGAGGCATAAGAGGACGAAGGGCGAAGACATTTATCGCAACTAGACGATGCAACCGCAGAGGATTTATACAACTTTGATGTGTCTGTTGCTCTAACGGAAATACAGTTAGACGAAACAGACGCTGAATTCACCGAAGCTATACAAGAAATTGATGGCGAGAGGGTTTTTTCTTTTAGTCAGTGAGAGATAGTGTGCAAGTCTATATAGTAAAGGGAGAGACAAAACTCGTGCTGCGTTGACTATTAGAGGACGTGGTTTGATTACATCACATCGATTCAGGTCAGTTTGGCTACTGTTTCCTCCACTGATGCTTTGTTCGATGCTTTGCATTGCCACTTTACACAACATTCTGTCCAAGGAACAATCAAGATAAACTTTTAGAATGTTTTTATATGGCTTGATTCCTCGTTTGTGTGAGCAGCTATAAAATTGTGAGAACTATAAAGTAGCAAATATATTCCTGAGCATATTTGATCGGATTTTTATAAAACACTACACCAGCAAAATGTCGGCATTGTTGGAAAATGCTGTGATTTTTCGTGAAGTTCAACCCTCGAACTCTGCACAGAAACTGTACGGAAAATATAGTTAAACTTTATTTAACAGTCGGAGCATTTTCCTACACCAGAGACTTTATTACTATTACAGTAGGTAAAGATGCGGCATGTACAGTCCAATCTGTGCATGTGCACAAAGGAGCCCTCTTTTTATTAATTTACAAACAGTTTATTTAGGTTTTTATTTCATTTTATGTTCTTTCAAAGCTTGATTGTTGTCTCTTGATAATTTCTAGAATCATGAAAATATAACTAGTTGTGAAATAAAATTCAATATTTTGGATACCGGAATGTAAACAAAGCCTTTGTTTACATACGGACTGTACCGCATCTTTAAAGTATAGCATTAATTAATGAAAGGCAGTCAACGAAAAGGCATTGAGTGATTGAGAAAAGGGATGCGATGACATATAAAACTTGATAAACTTCTTAATTGTTAAAGATTGTCAGAAGTTCAGAACACTGTTTCCATAATTCAATAATTTTATCATATATTATACAATAATTATATTGTTTTTAATTAAACCTTCTTGGCTGGTCGAAATAGAAGTGATTTGATTATGGTAATCTGCCACCATTCAGTACAGCCCTGCCCCACAGTAGGCGGATCACACCACACTAAGGGGACGATTACATGGAGCACTTTTAACCACAGGTTTGAACTCAACCATGTTTACATAACTGGGTTGAATATTTTGGGATTACATGGACAATCTCAACCCCAGGGTTGAAATGCTATACATTCCCGGAAGTGAAAACAAAAACCAGCCTCATCAAATGCTTGAGTAACTCATGAATAATTTCAGCCCTGGGTTGAAACGATTACATGATAAAATTTTCAACCCAAGGCGAAGTCCAACCTGGGGTTGAAATTTAACTCTGCTAGCTGAAGCGGGGTTGAACTTGGCCCTGAATTGAAAATTTTGAAATCATGCATTTGATTTTGATAGCATTTTGTATTACAGACAAGGGCGAGGGTTCAGCCCAGGCCTCGTAGGTCCCAACTGTAGGCCCCAACTGTAGATCTGTAGGAGACAACCCCAGGGTTGAAAATGCTCCATGTAATCAGCCCCTAATTAACCCATTAATTAAAACTTTGATGTACCCTGATTTGACTTTATTTCTGTTGAATACCAGATAATATAATATCATGGCCTTTAATTCACCAATCTTGGTATGAAAATCGAGTGACCACAAAAAATATTTACATGCAATATACCACTTTTGGAACAAAACAAGCATAGACCATTTTCATATGATAGTGAAAAACTTAAGTATTTTTTTTGCATTTTAAATTGCTTTTTGAGCCTTGGACCTCCTAGGTTATCTTGAATTTCTTCTACTTTCCATATTTGCATATTATCTAAATCTGCCATCAGTTTTAATTTCAATACTGGACACACCAGCCACCTCGCCAGCCACTGAACTAACGTGTGTAATTCGAAGCTTGTAGGTTGTTTATCTGGTATTTATACGTTGAGAATGCGACGCTCAGCCTTGGGAACTTCGTGTTTATTGTAGGTACTGTAAATTTTCAGTGGTACGCTACCAGTTATAAAATCTTTCGTTCGGGGTCTACAGAAGATAGATATTTAATAGACATGGGATATGTAAATATGCAAATACAATGCCCTCTTTGTTTACATCTGTCACACAAGCGCATGCATAAAATGCAAAATTTACAATGGCTTCAAATGACGCTCACAAAGGAAAATCTTATTTGTTTCTGAAGATCTACCGTCTTTTCTCTAGTCCTTTAAAACAATTCGAAGCCATTCTTCGCGAGCATTTCTCTTCTTGTTTACCGGCCATCGGCTGTAGTCTCCTACGCAGACTACATCGGCTGCGCCAACAACAGGGATTTTAAAAATTGCAAATTCACGCGTTCTGCTGGTCGGACAGCCATACAAAGCACAATTAGAGCCAACCATACTGTTCAATATTACTTCAAACGTTTAACCGTATCCTGACATACTAAAACAACGGCAAAAATACAATTATCCAAACGCGGTGTATAACCAAAGCGTTCGTCCCCTCGATCATAAACTGTTCACGACGCTCGCTTTCTTCGATATTTTCATCTCCAACGTTCAAAATAGGTTCGTATGTTTGTTCGCTTTCTGTTGCAATTTCCATCTTGATCTCAGAAGCCCTCCAGCGCTTTGAAATATGATCTTTTGTTGGCATATTATGTTCTCACTCATATGTTTTCCTAATCACTCATCACAAAGCACTCCCTTTCCTCGTCACGTGACCAAAAATAAAAATGAACAATAACATATTTGTCACGTGGTCCAGCTAGCCTAACATCTAGTTCTATTAACCGTGGTCTGTGTGAGCCTTAAGGGAATTAAACCGCACGTATCGTCACGTTATATCACGGCGGCCATACATGTTCGTGCTATATTTCATCATTATCTTTTGTTGAATTTGGCATCAAAATAGCCACTGTTTATTGTATTTAAAGTCCCAAGAAATTGGTACGATGATACGATACGCAAGCTATGAGTATGCGCCGGAATACACTTTGCGAATTAGCTCTACATTAATTCCAAATTTTATTCAGACGTCACTCTATTCATGCGCCGAAGTTTTAGACTTTTCTCATAATGACGTCAAGGCGAATAAACAATTAATGCAATGTGAGTAACAAAAATTTACAATCAAATCATTGCTCAGCCATTTGCAGTGCAAGATGCATTTGCAGTGCAAGATGTTGCTAAATATTGTCAGCGGGACATTGCTTTAAATTAAGTTTTTATTTGAGTTGTTGTCATTATAAAAAAAGGTTTATATGCCACGTTGGAGGAGAAATATCACGGGGGGAGAGTGGCTTGGAACTTAATTATGCTGAAGTTTTGTCGCTTCAAATTCTGTCGCAATTAATTGAGTCGAGTCAATTGGTAATCTTCGAGTTAAGACTTTTCAAATTATGTTCCTACCATATTGTAATCATACCCATGAAACACCCATTCTCGTCAATGGTTTAAATTAGCTCGAAGAAAGAAACTGAACCCGGACCATTCGTGCTAAACCTCGTGGAGAACAGAGGCTTAACCTGAAGTCGATCAAGAAATTTTATGCTGGCGTTAGCCCTCGACAAGTTCGGCTGTTTAGTTTGCGTCGCTCTTTACAACAAAGTATCGTATGTTTAGCTCATTAATATGTAAAAGCATGGAAGGACCAGGAATATATAGTTTCGTGTAATATAATATTCTTCAGTATAAGGCTCTACGAGTGCTGACCACGGCGTAGAATAACTTTAGTGTGATTTCATGAGAATTCCTGATGTTTTGAGTGCAGGCCCTTCTGGTCAGGAGAGTTTATGGTAGGAAGATATGATTTAAATATTTTGTGCGACGCAACGTCAATCCTGGCGGAAATAACCTAGCAGGGATCAGTTATTAGATAGTGTAATCTTTAAACAACTGTATTCCTCGCGTTTGATACTCAGTGAAATTTCCTGCTATATAGTGTAACGTATAATTATATATACAAGTACGATCCAATATTAGACCTGGAAACGAGGTAGAGAACCATTCTCAGCAAAGGCCAGCCTTGCATATTGACGAATTCAAACTTATACTAAGTGTATTTATCTCATGGTCCTTCATTTGATTTTACATATAAACTCGCTAAAAATATAGTAATTAAAGCGACGTACAATGTCAGTTCACTGGTTTGAAGCGTTTCGGTTATATTTCAAATCGAATTTTCCATGTTTTTCCACTCCGTGTTGCATCCAGTAGTCGCACTTCGTACGCGCTATATATGAATCACTTCACTACATGGTCGAGAAGTCCAGGATGAACTTAAGCATCAAATTTATTCATTGATTTCTAGTTAAGCCCTTAATTAATTGGCCCAAATTGTGTTCCTTTTTCCAAGTTTATGATCAGCCCTTGAAGAGAACTGATGTGGCTTTAGCGAGTTTGTGGTTGGCTCAAATGGATTGATTGGAAGATCACCTACCTCAATTGTGTCATTAATTCGTACTAAATTGTCACAGTAATTCGTACTAGATGCACCTAGCTACCCGATAATTGCGTTATAAGTACTCAATTGGCCTGCGATTGCTTCATAATTCTTATGAATGAGTTGCAGGTTCCTAGGGCTGACGCAATTATGGAAATGGTTAATTATTTTCGCCGCATGAAAACGGACTTCACTTTTCTTAGTAAGAGCTAATTCGCAAAGTGGATAATAGGCTTCGCTATCGGCCCAACATCTATTTGACTACAGCAAGTGATGCAGGAGGGAGTAGCGAGTTGATTAGTGTGGACTGTCGTGCGACATATGCATCCAAAAACAGCTGACGCGTTACCACTAGCGATTGTCTCAGCATTGACGGGCGTTTGACCTGCCATTTTTACTAGCTTCAGATTTAAATTTATCTAACATTTCATTTGTTTTAATATTTTTCTCTTTCCTTCTCTTTTAGGTATGCGTAAAGAAAACTTTTATTCATATTACATATTGTTGAACTTTGTCCGTTACATATTGATGCATGCATGATATTTGTATAATATACCTAAGTTAGTGTCACAAAAGCCACAATTGCAATGATAGTTTAATATTTATTATAATGCATTGATATGACAATATTGACTGACGGATTGAATGAAGATACCATTGTAACTATATTCAATAAATATGAATAATATAAAACAACTTCACTTTGTCTATTTTTAATCAAATAAAGTACAGTGGAGGCTCCAAAAATTTTTACTCTTATATAATTCTACGTTTCGGGGATGCCCATATAGATTAGTCGAAACCTAGAATCTTATTTTTTTTAGTTCCACTGTACTGTATCTTATATTAATTTGTACTTAAGTGGTTCAGGAAACAACCAATCCATGCATGAGCATATCGTAGCAAAATAAAAGCCAATTTTTAATAACACCTGCGAATTATACCTGTGATGATATCAAGATATATGTACTCAGTGTTTAAAATTACTGGCCTATTCAAAAGTACGTAATTAATTTCACTAAATTTGCAAATATCGATATTACTAAAATTTTAATACGTAAATGTTATAGTAACGCATATATATGGCAAACGAATATGCATATGTCAAATTGGCAAGC